AACCAACCGCTGTGTCTGCCAACCGCTGGGTTTGATAACCAACCGCTGGGTTTGACAACCAACCGGTGGGTTTGATAACCAACCGGTGGGTTTGACAACCGATGTGTTTGACAACCAACCGCTGGGTTTGATAACCAACCGATAAATAAGACAACCGTTGGGTTTGACAACCAACCGCTGGGTTTGACAACCAAAAAAAAAATTTGACAACCAACCGCTGGGTTTGACAACCAACCGCTGGGTTTGATAACCGCTGGGTTTGACAACCAACCGCTGGGTTTGATAACCGATGTGTTTGATAACCAACCGCTGGGTTTGATAACCGCTGGGTTTGACAACCAACCGCTGGGTTTGATAACCGATGTGTTTGATAACCAACCGCTGGGTTTGATAACCGCTGGGTTTGATAGCCACTGTGTGGTGACAACCGCCGTGTGCGATGGCCGCTGTGTGGTAATGGCCGCTGTACGTGATACCCTCCGCGCCACAACAGCTATCTGCGATAGATATGTAGCTGCTTTGCTGATGCACACATCTCGATCTTCCTGCCATGTTTTGCGACACAGGGGCTGTGGCCGGCATTCTGGATGATGCCTCAGGACAACGCCTACGGCAAGTGGGCGGCTTCGGGGGAGATCGACATCTTCGAGAGCAGAAACAACTTCACGGAGTCTGTCAACAACCTGGCCTACGGTGAGAGAAACTTTGGGTCAGGGGTAAGGGTACGCTAAGGGAAACTAGGGCACTACTCAACCGGCACTAAGCAGGGACCCCCTCTGTAACCGTAAATCATTAATCAGAAGAGAGAGACGTGGAGATGATCTAACTTAAAATCAGAGAAGAGAGACGTGGTTAAACCATACTTTATAACCCTAAAACCTTAGTCGAAAGGGAGAGACGTGGCGCTTGCTTCGGATGCGTGGTGTTGTGGAAGTTATAGGTGATGAGAGCGGTGTCCCGGCCGGTGCCGCAGGCTCCGTTTCATCCGCGGTAAAGCACATTCGTGCCGATCAGGTGCTCCACAAGAGGATAGTAACTGGTTTGTGGCGCTAATTTTGCGGTCACGCGCTGGCGTGTTGAGATGA